CTTTCATAAATGTTATGCTCTTTTTGTCCCTACTTTATTTATTTCAACCCTTCCTTTTATCATTTCCCCCTATTTTTGTATCTGCCTTATTATCAGGATTTTAGAACATTGAAGTGTGACACAAAATTATTTATTTGAGACCTCCTTGATATTGTTGTTTGTTTTTAGAAAAGGTGTCCTTATGGAGCCCAGGCTGGCCCCACAGTCATGTGCCTTCTGTTTTAGTCTTCCAGGTCCTGGAATTACAGGCATGTACCACCTTCCATCCCTGGTTCATGATTTCAGAAATAGGAATAGCCCTAAAACTTCTTAGAATGCCTTATCTATGTCTCAGGGACTTTGCCACATAACCTTTATTTGACTCTAAGAATTTCCCATTGTCCTCATTGATTTATCCAAAGACCTACCAATCATTAAAAAGTGAACTGTCCCATCTCCATGTGTTCATATATTTTCTGTAGTTTCGCAAACTATCAATTTCCTAGTTTTATTCAAATATGATCTGATAAAATACAAGAAATTAGTTGATTTTAAATAAAAAAGGCTTAAAGTGTGGTTTATTTTGGATCTGGTGGGAAGAACCTGCATTTTGTAGATGTTAGAATATTTTTTGTGTCTGTGTGCATTTATGTGGAGATCAGAGATCAACATTGTATCTTTTTTTTCTCAATTGCTCAACACCTTAGTTTTTGATATAGAAGGCTATTTCTGAACTTATTGCTCTGTAATTCATCGAGGTTTTCTGACCATGAGTTCTAAGGAGCTAGCTAGCTATCTGCTCCAGCACAGTAGTAGACATTCACTGCCATTTTGACTTTTGTGTGGGTGGTGGGGACTGAACTCACACAGCAGGTACTTTACCAAATGAGCAACCCTAACTCCATTAACTTTCTCTTTCCTGGTTATTAACTATGGTGTTCTGTATATAAACTTTCTGTATATAAACATTATTTTTTTTAAAAAAAAATGGGCATTAGAAATAACCTATATTAACCAGGAGTGTTGGCACACACCTTTAATCCAAGCATTTAAGAGGCAGAAACAGGCAGATTTCTGTGAGTATTGGATCAGCCATGGCTACACATTAAGACCCTGTCTCAAACAAATAAACAAATAGACAAACCAATGCAACAACATCATCCCCCAAAACAAAACCAAAAAAACCAGTGTTACATTAAACTTGGACTTGGTAACATAGGCCTGTATTACCAGTTACTTTGGATGCTGAGGTGGGGAGATCACAAGCAACAGGCCTGCCTGGGCTACAGAGTAAATTCAAGGCCTCAGGAACTTAGCAGGACCTATATAAAAAATAAAGCAAAATAAAATGGGCATCTAGGTATATTGCTCAAATGAAACACCTTACATCAAAACTATTCAGAGGCAAGAGTTCAAAATCATTCTCTGCCACTTTGCAACATGGAGACAATTCTGGGCTACAAGAAACTCTGTTCCAAAACAAAATAACAACAACAAACCCTCAAATTAACAGAAGGAGTTAACAGTATGAATGAGAAGGATGCCGTGGGCATCTGGCATCACTGCACATGAAGAAACTCTGAGAACTAGTTGCTTGGTACAAAGTATATAGTGTTTGGAGTCTGAGGGACAGAGATGTTCAAAAGACAGTTCTTGCCTTTTAGAAGGTAGATCAGCTAATAAAGAGTTACAACTTAACAAATGTCTAAGTGATTATTTGGTCATGGTTATATACCACCCCCCTTTTTAAAAGTTTCTAAAAGCTGAAGCTCTCATCTCTGTCCTTTCCCCTTGAAATCTCTCTTAATTATCTCCTAATTATCAAACTACCCCTGCTTCAGGAACAGCTATTAGTGCTTTGTCCCTTATCTGTTGAACTGAGGTGAGCAGTCTGTCCTGTTTTAACTCTTGTCTATATGACAACTGGCTAAAGCAGCAAACAAAGACATTTATAGGAGTCTTCTGCTGAATGCTACAGCTCTAAGAAGCAGTCTGTTACATAATTCATGTCCTTTCTAACCGCTCCTCTGTGTTCATTTACACAACTGATCATTGAAATTGCTTTAGAAACGTGTCTCCCAGAAATACAGCATATTTAAAAAGCTTCCTTATTATCACTGTGAAATGGATGCAACTTAGTGTTTATTTACAGCAAACATCTAGAAATCTCACTTCTCCTAACTATAGTTCATTAACATTCCCATCAAATCACTACTGGAAATGTTCTCTCCCACTGCAATCCCAGTTTGGTGCATGAGTATGGAAAGCAGCAGACTATTTTCCATGATCATAGATTTTAAATATTTACTTGCTTGTACTGCATAATTTAGCACACTGGAGTTGGAAAGCAGTTTATATGGCAGCTGATTCCATGCCAGTGTTAGAGAATATAAAGTCCCTCTGTGACTCCTATATGAAATTGTAAAAGTGAAAGGTGTTCTCGTTTCCTTTTCTAACCAATTCAAAGTTTGCTTTACTGTAAGTCTACAGAAAGCCTATGCTTGCAGTATACACATAACATTGCATAATTTTGTATACAAAATATAGTTATATAGTTATCATACAAACCCAAGCATTGATTCTAATGGCTTGTTAATATAGTATACCAAAAATTAAAATACAATCATTCTGGTAATGCGAATGAGATGGCTAATCTTGGTGGTCCTTTGACTACATCTGGAATTAATTCAGACTAAGGCTACTGGGCTGTCTAGTGAGAATTTTCTTAATCAGATTATTTGAACTAGGAAGACTCACTGTACAACTGGACTACAATTTCTGGTGGCAGACCAGATAAAAAGACACGGAAGAAAGAAACTGCTTCATGCCCTCTTGGCCCTACTTTCACTGGTAAGTTCATTAACTTTGTTGCTGCCAGTACTAAATCCAACTTCTTTGGGATTCAAACGATTACATTCCTCCAGGAATCTTTCAGGATTCCAGTGTCAGATTGGGATTGCTGAGACCTTCAACCTTGCCGCAGACCTTTCAGTGGGCAACAGGTCTGTGGGGAGACCAAGACTCGGATGAACAGGTCAGGAGTGGCTTCGGCTTGACAGACAGACACAAACACACTCGAGGAGGTTTGCAACTGCTGCGATTTTTACTTCAGAGCATCGGGTTTTTATGCAGAAATTTCAAGGAACAGATCTTCGGCCACAGTTTAAAATTTACAGACATACTATAGAAATGTCAGCAATTATTTTGGAGCATGAGATCATAAATACATCTCATGTTTATTTTGGCCTGCTTGTGGTCAGCTTACCAGGGATTTGATTTACTGAGTTTAGAGAATAATCATTGTCTTTGGTCAGTAAACTTTTAACAGCATTGATAAGAACTCTTGTACTGTTTTATTGATTTAGGGGCCCTAAAAACTCAGTAGTAAGTCCCACAACAGCTTTGCTGTGGGCGGGCTAATTAGGCAGGGTCATCTTGTGGGCAAATTCCTATAGCTTTAGGTATGTTAATTTATTAGGACTTGGGTTGACAACTGAAGTCTCCACTGGCTCCCTGGGATTTGTAGCTGAGGGCTGGTCTATATCTCTTTCTGTCCCTGAAACTATATCTAAGTGTTTTCTGGGCTTCTCTGAATTAACAGTGGAGCTATAGGCCAAAGCACCCATAATCAAAAGCATTAAGGCTATCATAGCACAACAAACACCTAGTACCCGTTCCAGACTGTCAGATGGGAAATCACCTGCAGGGTCCTGAACCACTTTTCCCCAGGAGGTGTAACCAGGTGTGGTGCGAACCTCTGGACAGGTAGCCATTGAGATTTCTCTCAGCCATTGCTACACTGTCTCCACTTGGGGCTGGTGTGGCACAACCTCATGGATTTAACAACTAGAGTCTCTGCCTTTCAAGTGTGAGACAGCCATTGTTGGACTACCTGGACTACATTCCGTCTAATATATTTATTCTATCCAGTCTGCTCCTTTACAGAACCTTCACACAAGTCCTTATAGAAGCTATAGAAAGGCTCGGGACAGCTTGTGAGATAGTGCTACCTCTCCTAAATCATCAGAAGTGCTACCTCTCCTAAATCATCAGAAAGGGTTCTGCACTTCAAAATATGACACAAACTATCCAAGTGAGAAGGGAGTGGATACTTTGTTATCTATGCTAACTTGTCTTGCCATACCCCTCCACTGATTATTTGGCTGTCCCATGTGAATGGTGAATAAATCACTCCAATAACTCTAGGTAACTGTTTTCATGAGAATACCATTTAAAATAAGTTTTCCAGTGTCATACTACAGGTCTTATTCCAACACTAAGGGTTTGAGAAAAAGATCACAAGTTCGGGCCAGCCTGGCTGAATTGTGATCACCTGCCTTAAAACAAAACACCACCGACTTCTAATCGCAGAACGCACTTAAAATCAGAAGAACATATTTTGTATTTCAGAAGGCTTTCATTTTCTCGCATTTTAAGGGCCGGGTAACAAAGACTGCTGTCTTTTTTTTTTCCTCCTTCCTCCTTCTAGTTTCTACTCGTATTTCTTATGCATTGTTCCAACAGTCTGTGTTACCGAAAACGATGTATTAGCAGAATTACGTTTTGTCATTATTTAGTATTTCTCTTCACATTTCTTAAAAGGTAGGTTCTGAATTTCATTCCTTGGCAAGAACCCGAATATGTAAACTGAATGCACACGTCCCTAGAAGCTCCACCAGGATGTAATCAGCACCCCTAACCACAGTTTGCCTTGGTGGAGAGAGTCAGTATTTTTAGCTCAGAAGGTTTAGTCATAAGGACCCAGAGCTCTATGAATGCTGGATCTTGTAGTCCGGAGGCCGCAGACGCTCACGCTGCGTGGCAGCTGGTAGTTTAAATATAGTAGTTACAGCTAGGGGGACAGCTCTAAACCCTAACACGGGGCTGCCGCTCACAGATGCACGACTTCTGGGTTCTTTGCTAGCAGCTGCCCGGGCGTTTTAGGCCCGGCACAAGCCTCCAGCAGGATCGCGGCCTGCGGAGGCATCGGCGTCCCGTGCTACGGTGGCCGCCCAGGGCCCTGTCCCGTACGTCCCGCGGTCGTACGCGCTGCTTGGCGCCGCTGCTGGAGCCGGAGCGTGTCCTGGTGTGGGGACTCCTGCGCGGCTGTACAGTTATCCAGTCCTGTGTCGCCGAGGGGTCGACTTGAGGCTGGCGGAGTGGAGAAGGTTGGAGCTTGTTATTTGTAGTCTTCGAATGGCTGGTTTTTGCAGGGCCCTGCCTTTGGTGCAGACCCTGGCCAACCGTCTGGGTTCCTGGAGGGTGTTGGAGCTTCTTTCGATTCTTCTTCCTCGTGCGGGTCGTCTTCCAATTCTCCCTCGCCCTTTGAACTGTAAGCCTTCCAGAGGCCAGCTGTTCTGTCATTCTTGACCAGACCAGAAGCGGTTTTATCCCTAGCTGCCTCATCCCATTGATCCTTCCTTGTGCTACTGGTCTCACCGCTCCAGTTTCTAGACAAAACAAAACAAAAAGTGTGTGTGGGAAATGTTAGCTCTCAACCTGTCCATCTGTAGTTCCATTAACGCTATGGGGGTGTTTGCAACGCCAGTCTGTACCACTCTACCCTGGTTATACGAACAATGCTGACTTCACTAGTTTGGCTTTTGCTCGCCCTCACACACCCAAGCACATCGGAGGGCTTTTGAAGTTGGAAACTCAGATTACCATCCTCTATGCGATCAGCATGACTTTGCTTGAGTTTATGTTGCTCGGAGTTTCTTACATTTTTGTTTTTTATCGATTACTTTCCCACATGGAGTTGAGTGCTGCCTTGGCGTTAAGAACATGTCACCTTATGGCTTTTTAGTATTTGAATTACTTAAGTGGGGGATTTTCTTCTGTTTGTTTACCTTTTCTGACCTGACATTCCCGTGGGATTTTGGGTTGATTTTGTGTCAGCTGATAGCAGATAGACATAAAGAAGTGATCTTTCCTGCCTGCTGCTTGTGATTTGTAATTAGATTATGAGTCTTTGGAAGTACCCAGAGGGGTTGGAAAGGCTTTGAAATGTACAGTCTCTGTGTTTTCTGAGTTTCAAATTGTAAAGCCCAAACAGAGAGATTCCTAATTAGCCCAGTGTCTGTAGCTAATTGACTGGTTCACCTGCCATAAGAATTTGAGAACTGAAGTTAAAAAATGGGCAGCGTGAGAGATTGCGCAATTTAGTAAAAAAGAGGCCACTTGATTGATGCTGTTTCTATACAATGGGATGGGCGCATATATATTTAAAAAGAGTGTTTTTTTAATTTCTTTGTGTGTTTCTCTACACATGTTGGTTCACCTTGTGTGTGCCTGGTACCCCTTGAAGTCAGAAGAGGGTGTCAGATCCCCTGGAACTGGAGTTACAGATGCTGAGGAGCCACCATGTGGGTGCTGGGAATCTAACTGAGGTCCTCTACAAGAATAGCCAGTCCTCTTAACCAGTGAGCCAGCTCTCCAGCCTGGATGCAAATATACTGAAACATGTTTTGAAGCTTTGTTCTGGGTAGTCTGACAGCTTTGCTCAACATTTTGTATTTCTGTTTGCTAAAGATTTACAGGTAGATATTTTGTCTCTTGTTTCCTGGGAACTCTGCAATTTAAGTGACTTTTGTGGCTTGACTTCTAATTATAGTGTTTCTGATAGGTTTCTTTCTTTTTAAAAAATATTCTCACCATGCAGGTTGGGCTGGCTCCATCACTGTCTTCCCATCTCAGGGTCCAGAGTGTTGGGTTTACAGGTGTGTGTCCAGTGTCATTTTTCTTTAAGTGATACAGTCTATACTGTCAATAAAATTAAAATATATCCTTCCAGGTTTGGAATATCCCTAATTAATCTGAACTGTTTTCAGCTATGTTTAAGATTATAAGCATATGGTATTTTAGAATTGGTGTATGCTTGTAATTCCAGTGCCCAGGACAGTATAACAGGAGGAGTTCTATGGGTTTGAGGCCAGGCTAGGATACAAAAGTTTGCTCTAGGTCAGTTTGGGCCATAGAGTGAGACTATCTCAAAAACATAACAAAACAAACAATAAACTCTAAACCACTCAACTAAAGAAAAAAATGACCTATTCAAACAAACAAAACCCAACACTTTTATTTTCAGAATTATTCATGGAATAATTTTTTTTGGAAAAAGGTTAGAAGTTATAATAACTACACATTTTTAAATATATTTTCCTGAGAGTTTGAGTTTCAAGTTGACTTTTTCTTGAGATTTTAGTCATTCACTATGCATTTATTGGATTCTTACTATTTAGCAAAATCATAATATTTATTGATCAGAACATCCTGTGTCCATAACTCATCTCTGTACTATACAATTTCAAAACATTGTTTCCACATTATATGAACTCAGTGAACTATTATTATTGATGTTTTGCAAATGAAGAAGCTAAAACTGTAAGAGTTTAAGTCCAGTTCTTTTTGATCCTTCCCTAATGCACTAAAGAGGCAAAAGTTGTTCTTTATCTTGGAATGCATAAAATTCAGTAAATATGTGTAAAACAGCCATTTTATATCTGTCCTTCTCTCTATTTATCCATCTGTTTTATATCTATTCATTTATATTTATCATCTATCAGCTATCTTTATTTCCATGTGCCTACTTTATACGTATTTATCATCTACCTATCATTTATCACCCCTTGATGAGATTTCATCTGTATGTTAAATAGTGTGTAGGGGTTTTGTTAAGTAAAAATTGTGAGGGAAGCAATTCCAGGTAAAAACACAAAGTGAACATATTCCTGCAGCTGAATCATGGAGGCTAGAGATTAGAAAGACACTTGTGGACTGTTCTGTGTTGTCAGTTGTCACACACTTAGCAGGGATACAATGCCTGCATTTGAAGAAAAACCAAACAAAAACCAAAAACAAATAAACAAACAAACACAACTTGAGTGAACTGATGGCCAGAGTTCAGACCTAAGTGACAAGTTGGGTATATTCTGAGTAATTACTCTGAGAGTGAAAGGAATTTGAGAGCAGTTAGTGAAGGAGCCCTTGGGAGGTATTTGCCATTGAGTTGTGGGAATGGGCTAGAGACCAGGGAAATAGCCTAGAGACCAGGATGGCTAGTTGTCAGGTGTGAAGGAAGCAGAACAGGTAGGTGACTTGTATGTAGATTCACCTGTTTTTGTTTTTAATCAAATCATAGGATTTAAAAAACTTTCAAATTTCACTATTGTTTTATGAGTTACTGTCAGTTAAACAGGCCAAGATTGTCAACTATATGATGTGTTTCAGTTTCAGAGCTACAAAATTCTGGTGCCAGAATTTATGTCATTAGGCACTCTTTATGTTGGCAATTGAACCTTATAACTACTTTATTTTTACTTTTAGGACTATTTATGAATCCATTTGTAGTGTTTACCTCACATATAACTTTTTATTTGTTAACTAGGGATTCATCTAGGTCACAGATATAAAGCAGTGAGTGTTCTAGTTAGGGTGATGAAACACCACTACCAAAAGCAATTTTGGAGGAAAGGGTTTATTTGGCTTACACTTCCACATCACTGTTCATCACTGAAGGAAGTCAGGGCAAGGACACAAGCAGGGCAGGAACCTAACTAAAGTCAGGAGCTGACGCACAGGCCATGTAGGAGAGCTGCTTACTGGCTTGCTCATCACACCCTGCTCTTATAGAACCCAGGACCACCAGCCCAAGGATGCCACCACCCACAAAGGGCTGCCCCCCCCCCCATTGATCACTAATTAAGAAATGACCTAAAAAAAAAAAAAAAAAAAAAAAAAAAGAAAGAAAGAAAGAAAGAAATGACCTACAGCTGGATCTTATGGAGGCTTTTTCAATCAAGATTACCTCCTTTTGGATAACTGTAGCTTGTGTCAAATTGTCATGAAACTAGCCAGCACAGTGAGTAAAATAATCTATCACAATAGAATTTTCTGTGTAATGGAGAAGGCAGTATACACCAGATAGTCAAATTTGAAATTACAGCTATGTCAAATGCTGCTACCAAAGGACTTGGTGCTATTTTTTTCTGAGGAAGTGATGCGGACCGGAAGATTGGAGATGGGAGAGCCCAGTAAGGAGGGTTAGAATAGCCTACACATGGGATGAGACTGTCTGGAGGAGGTAGCAGTAAAGGCAGAAGAGGATGGATGTGAGAGGTGAGGGAGAAGATGTCACTGACTACCCTAGGTAGTTATAAGACCTTTGTCTTATAACTGGATGGGTTGTGGTACATTCCTTGAGATAGAGAACATTGAAAGATCAGATTTCCAGGGCTAAACCTTTTTTTATTTTTATTTTTAATTTAATATTGATCCCAGTTCCCCCTCCCTCTTTCCCTTCCTCCCTCCCTCTCTCCATCTTTTCCTCTCTCCCCCCTCACATGCACCCCGACCACCCATCCCTCCCATCCCTCGCATCCCCCCCACTCCACATGTAGGGTGATGCCATCCAGGAGGGGTCATCTAAATCTGTCAAGTCATTTGAAGTAGGGACTAGCAGGGCTAAACCTTTTTATTAATATTTTTATTGTGGCAGTGATTGTAAAGATTACTTTTTATTATTGATTTATTAATTTATATTAAAATATAGAAGTTATATTTTTTTCTTATGTGTCAATACGTGTGTGTGTGTGTGTGTGTGTGTGTGTGTGTGTGTATGTGTTTATTTAAGACAGTGTGTCACTATGTACTCAGGCTTGGTACTCACTATGTAGACCATAATGATCTCAAACCCATCGACATCCTCCTGTCTCTGCTTCCTGATTGTATTATATTTGAATAATAGAATGTTACTAAGATTCTTTGGGTAGGATTTTGTCCTTGAATGCAGAGGGGTGGGGCTGTCAGTGAAAGCACCTGGAAATGTGTTGGCATCTGCTTTGAATCTACATGTGACGTATATTAAAACCATGTACAATAGTATAACTAAGTGTGGTGGTCAGAATGAAAATGATCCCAATAGTCTCATAGAAAGTGGCATCATTAGGACATGTGGCCTTGTTAGAGTATCTGCGGCTGTGTTGGAGGAAGTGTGTCATTGGGGGTGGGTTTTGAAAGGCTTCAAATGCTCAAGCCAGGCTCAGTGTTTCTCTCTCTGCCTGTTGCCTGCAGATCCAAATGTAGGACTTACAGCTACTTCTCCAGAATCATTTCTGCCTGCATGCCACCATGCTTCCTGCTGTGATAATGGACTAAACCTCTGTAGTGT